GGGGGGACGCAGATTGATTATTGAGATGAAGAGTGTAGGTGTACAAAATTTGAGGTCATACAAATACCACAAACATGGTTTTCTAAAAATGTCGTTACATTATACTATGATTCAACCGTTGCATTGGATCATTGCTCTTCCCTATTTGCCTAAGAAAGCACATTCACACCGAAAGAGATGGAATACAGCTTTCTCCAAAAATTCATCCAGGTGCTCATATTGTTTGATACTCTCAGAATGAATTCACGAAAGAATTGATCTAATAGTAAACAAACTTGCTTTATTTTAGGGTTCTCAAGATTTCATCCAGTTTGATACTCATGAAAGAACTCATCCAATAGTACACAAACTTGCATTGTTTTAGGATTATCGTAGTTCACTTGTATAACCGTCCTCGTAACATTCTCAAGTCTCAGTTTTCCCATCAGTCTAAGAAAGAACTTTCCGAATGTTAACCTAAGACCTCGATAGGTCAAAGCAAACATAAAAGAAATAAACTGCAAAAGTAAGAGCTGAAATATTTGGAGCGATTTATGAAAATGAAACCTTGACCCGTTGTGTTTCTTGAGTATATAAGATATGATATCCTTCACATAAAAAAGTTAAAGATTAAAGATGAAATACAAATGCTCAGCAACTCTGGGACTCATCTAATATTGTTATTTCAGTGGCACATAGCATGCTCCCAATTTCTAGAAACCAAACAATAGTAGGACACAGAAAAATGCTGTCGCTGTAATTAGCCTTTCAAAGTTTTCAGAGAGATTGGATTTCAGCAGCAACACGTAATAATGCTAATGGCTCATTTACATGTACATTCAGATGTTCATGGATGAAAATCAAGCAAAGCAGAACCGCACAAGTAGATATCTTGAAAGAGTTCATCAAAATTTGTATAATATTGTGTGGCACTCGACTAAACAAAATAAATGACACAAGAAATGGCAGTAGAAGATCACGAGCTTCAAGTGTATTTTGACATTACGAACAAATATTTCCACGTAATATTGAGGTTTACAGCCATCTTCATAAATACCAGACGAGTATTCCCCAATGTGGTACTTTGGCAGGTGACATGCATTGCTCATGTATAAACTATTTTTTAATTAGGTTTGAAAAATAGTGAGACCCAGCAACAGTTAGTTGAATGTATCTACAGAAAATATTAGAAAGTAGAGGGAAATAAATACTAATAAAGACTGATGTATAGAAGTCTCGAAAAGAAATTAGAGAAACAGCAGCAAAAGTGACCCCAACATAAGCAACACCAGAGTTACATATAAATTACACAGCACACCTGCACACCTCATGCATTATGCTAGATGGTGCCTACTTTTTTTACAAACATATATTAAGATCTGCCTCATTTCAGGACTACCAAGACAGACTTCTCCGCAAGTTCTCTTTGCCTTCTCTTTCTTTTGACAAGAGATTAGTTCATAGCATATTTTTGAGTCCAGGCCCTTGCAGTTTCCTCATAACGAGACCTCTGGTTCTTGTAGATATGAGCTATCTCAGGGACAAGAGGGTCGTCGGGGTTGGGATCAGTGAGAAGAGAACATATGGAGAGGAGGACCTTGGAGATGGTCAAAGCAGGGCTCCATTGCTCCTTCAGTATGTCCAGACAGATGCTCCCATTTGAGTTTATATTGGGGTGATAAACCTGCAAATCATACGTATAAAATATTCAATGCCATGGTTCGCCATGCACACATACGTTTTTAGAACTTCAAAACCAGTTGCCAAATGTAAGAACTCATCATTTTCTTTCTCCCCATGATTCCTTTATGACGAATGAAATACCTCTTTTATTGTTGGTAAAGGAACAATACATAGCCAAAAAATAATATAACACTAAATCTAGGTCCTTTCTGGAATTCATGTGTGGCATGACCATCTCACAAGCAAGAGACTGTTCAAATATTAGGAGGTTTGGGCCCTCTAGGGTGTTCATAGGGGGCAGAATCCCAAAACCTCCCAAATGGACCTATTGACAAACATATATATAAAAAAAATCAATTTCCCAAGCTTGTGTGTTATTGTTTTATGCTATTTCAAATTTATACATGAATTGGATTGAAACTTGAATTTGAAATGCTATAACTTTACAAGTTTGAAAGTTGCCTCAAATCCACACAGTTGCATTTCATGACTCATAAAAAGCCAATATGCCATATGGGTCCACAATCAGTTATCTAAATCTAAATTAGACACTAGCAACACAGTCAAACACATGAATCACAAGTCAAAATTCACAAAAACGTCCAAATACATAAACAAAAAAAAATATCAAATTGGCAACTAAACTCAAAGTACATAAACAAACAAGACTCAAAGCATGACATCACGTCTGAAGATTGGGTCTTCCAATCTGCAGAAAATTTCAAAAAACTCAAAACTAAAACCTACTCTAGAGTATGGGACAATAATCCAAAGCCAAACTTCTAAAAATATTCCAGAACAAAAATAGATAGGAAAGAAAAAAAATCATAATCCATTTGTACACAAAGATCACCAACCCCTAATTCTATTATTGTTACACTAACCTTTCAAAAATGTTACGGTGCATGAGGTTGTAGGAGAAAATGTCCCCCTCATCCTTTGCTTATTGTTAGCCTTTTTATGTGGGTCGTTAATTAGAACTCCTATTTTGTTGGTATTTGACCTATTCACTAGGAAGTTAACATTGTAATGTGGGTTGTTATTTAGAATTCCTATTTTGTTGATGTTTGACCTATTCATTAGGAAGTAAACGTTGTAATGTGTCTCTATTTAAGAGATGAATGAATAAAGAAGGGATCATCTGATTGTTATCCCTACAATATCGTGTAAACCTTTGGAGGTATCGGGTTCTCTCGAAGCGACCCAACAATATATGTTTCCCTTCTTCTCGTTCTATATCTTCTTCAACGTCCAAGATAGGTAACAGAAAAATAACCAAGAGTAGCCAAGCCGTACCAAAGTTGTATCAGAGCTCAGGCATGGACCAGTGAGTGGAGCAATTAGAGCAACCTATGGGGTCACACTCAACCAATCAGCAAGACATCATGAATCAAATGGTTGAGTTATTTGAAAGAATTGCTTGACCCTGTATAGCCAGCTCATTGGGTCTTCTCCTCCATTGAAACGTGGGAAGTCCAACTTCACAAGCTTAGGCGTATAAGACCCAGTGTGATGATAGCTGCTACTGCCATTGCTCGAGTTGGAGCTAGTGAGTTCTCTCCCATCTCCCTAGCAGATTGCCCTGCTATTTGATCCACACGAGTACTGAATTTTTCAAATAACTCGGGCCATCCAATTCATGATGTCTTGCTAATTGGTTGAGAGCAACTCCATAGCTTGCTCTAATTGCTCCACTCGTTGGTCCATACCTGAGCTCTGACATCACTTTGGTACGGCTTTGCTACTCTTGGTGATTTTTCTGTTACCCATCTTGGACGTTGAAGAAGATATAGAGCGAGAAGAAAAGAAACAAATACTGTTGGGTTGCTTCAAGGGAACCCGATACCTCTAAAGGTTTACAAGATAGTGTAGGGATAACAATTAGATGATCCCTTCTTTATTCATTCATCTCTTAAATAGAGACACATTACAACGTTAATTTCCTAATAAATAAGTCAAACACCAACAAAATAGGAGTTCTAAATAACAACCCACATAAAAAGGCTAACAAAAAGCTAACAACTCAACAATAAGCAAAGGATGAGGGGGACTTATTCTCCTAAAACCTCATGCACCGTACCATTCCTCCCTTCTTAAATTTTACCCTTGCCCTCAAGGGAAAAATCTGAAAATTGTTTCTTAATGGCTTCCGCCGATGAGAGCCCTTACCAATGGATTAGAAAGTCTTGCTCCCTCTTTCGCAACCGACATTCCAAAATCGCTTAAGGGTTTGGAGTTATCTTCTCATCTTCTTCTCTCACCGATGGTAGTTGAGATTGAACAATAACCTTGGCTCCAATCTTCTTCTCGAGGAGAGAGACGTGAAAGACTAGATGAATTCGAGAATTAGTTAGCAACTCTATTTTGTAAGCGACAGCTTCAATCTGTTGTAGAACCTTAAACGGGCCATAATACTTTGGAGAGAGCTTCAATTTTTTTCTCATAGACACCGAAGCCTTCCTATACAGCTGCAACTTCAAATACACCCAATCACCAACCAAAAACTCCCTCTATGTATGCTTAGAATCGTAGATACGCTTCATCCTTGCTTGAGCCTCCTTGATTTTCTCCCTGACATCTTTGATAATCTCATCCCTAGCCAATAACTCTTGCTCAAATATAGCTACCTTAGTTGTCTGAGGTACATAAGCTAAGAGAGTAGGTGGGGGTCGTCCATACACAATGAATTTAGGCATTCCATGCAATTGAAAGATTTGATTGAAGAAGACTCGAGCAACTCCCATGGCTGTATATTGATGTGAGATGGTAGTGAAGTGTGCGTATTTTGATAATCGATCTACTACAACAAATATCGTGGATTTTCCCTTTGAAATAGGCAATCCATCAATAAAATCCATTGCAATATCTTCCCATACCTGGCTTGGCACGAGCAATGGTTGTAGAAGACCGGCAAGGGCGAGATGTTCCACCTTGTGACATTGGCAAATATCGCAGCGTTGAATGTACCTCTTGATTTTCTATCTCATGCACTTCCAATAAAAGTTGGACCGGATCCGGTGGAGATATTTTAGGAAGCCTTCATGAGTGTTGTCGTGGAACTGGTTGATTATATCATCAACAAGAGAAAAATCTTCAACAAAGTAAATCCTCTCTTTAAAAAATAAAATTCCATCTTGAATTCTCCATGGGCCCACAGCTTCCCCATCTTTGACCAGCTGATGTAGGAAAACAAAAAAAAAAATCAAAATTTCAATTTTTTTTTAATTTATATTTTAATTTCAATAGGGGTACGCAGAGATAATTATTAGGTGGGCAGGAGCTCTTTTTTTTGTGCATGAGTTTAGGATAGAGATAATTTACCCCATGGTTAAATTGGTAGATAAGGCTAACGTGAGATTAAAGTGACTTATCTTTTAAAGAGATAAGAAGATCTTCAAAAAATATGGTATATGGGAAGAAGGAGAGATTTAAGGAGATCTTCAAAAAATATGGTACGTAGGAAGAATAAGAGCTTTAAGGAGATCTAGTTATGGAAGGATTGAGATGTACGAGCAAGTTAGAGAGAGGGAGACTACTTGTTTTATGGGTTTTTTTTTGGTTAGTTATTTGTTTATTTTTTTTCATAGTCTATTCAAAAGGAGATGTCCCTTCTTTGTGAAGGCAATAAATGCAAGTTGAATAAAATTTGGTTTTGTGAAGAGATCATTTTTGGGACGTATTCCTTTGCAGACTTTGAGAGAGGGTATATTCTCTCAACTGTTTCTATTTTTATTTTTAGTGTTCCCATGTTATTTTTCTCCCTGCATTAGTTGGTATCAGAGCAAGTAAGATCCAGATATTCAACCCTCTGTCCGATTCGAAGAGTTCGATCCTTTCGAAGAGTTCGATCCTTAATGTCCTATCCGTGACAACGCATGTGCTGCCAAAAATGAGTTTTTTTTTTTGGCAATGCCACCCAAAGCTAATCAAACGAATCCTACTCCTGCTATGGATGATCACTGAGGACGAGCTATAGAAAATTTGACTAAAGCCCTAGAGGATGTTCGAACCAAAATACGTGAGATGAATCAGGGGATGCAACAATTGGATCAGAGGTTCAAACGAATGGAGAACAATGTTCATCGTAAAGAAGGTGCTCGCAGCTACATTGATCTTGCACCAGCAGTCCCACAACAAACCCAGGGTGTTGATTTCGAGTGTAACGAAGATTACAGGCCAAATCCGCGTCCTATAAAGCGACCACGAGATTTTGGTATTAACATCGATCTCCCCGAATTTCATGGTAAGCTCCACATTGAAGCTTTTATTGATTGGTTAACTGTAGTTGAGAATTATTTTGAATGGAGTGAATTGCCAGAGGAACTTAACCAAGCTCCGCGGGTATGCTGCAGCCTGGTGGGAGCAAGTACAACAATCCCAACTTCGTAGTAGGAAAGAAAAAATTAGTAACTGGAAAAAGATGAACAAGAAATTGAAAGAAAATTTTCTTGCTGCGAATTATGAGAAAATTTTCTTTCCAGAACTTCAAAATCTTCGACAGAGTGAGAAAAAAGAAGATTATACAAGAGATTTTTATCGATTAGTTGCTCGAAATAACCTCCACGAAACAGAAAGACAAAAGGTCGCTCGATATGTAAATGACCATCAACCTACCATTAAGGATTATATTTTTCTACATCAACCATGGACTTTAAGTGAAGCTTTTCAACTTGCTCTACGAGTAGAAACTAAATATCAAGGGAGCACCGACAAGCGATTTTACATCCAAAAGGAGGTTTTGCGCCAACCAAAATTTAATGAAGAAAAAAAGATACTGCAAAGTTTACGCGTTATCGATGCAATGAACCAAGACATCGTGCATATGAATGCCCAAAAAAGCAGATGGAGGTACACTTGGCTAAGGAAGACGATGACGTTCCATAAGAAGATCAAATTCAAGAAATAGTCTTGCATAGGTGATGAAGGAGATCCACTTTGAATCAAGCTCGAGATCGAGCTTCTCTCAACCCCGGGAGAATGATGCAGGAAAAAAATTCAAAA